GATTTAAGTAGAGAAATACAGGAACATACCCGCTTAAATTTCCCAGAGACTTTGTTCTGAAGTCTGCTACAGTTGGTACTGATTTGATAGGAAATGCTTTTAATTGCTTTTCCACTTTGAAGAACTAGATGGGATCCTGCCAGTGTGATGACACATATTCTACGAGGAGCAAAAATTGATCCTGTATTATTGCTTGGTATGATTCTTCCTCCTATAACACAGTATTCCTACTGGCACAAGAAGAGCTGAGCTGACATTTGTTTAGTCAGCCTATCATTTCCCCCCATTTTCCTCTGGCTACTATTGGAGCTTACCTGAAGAGAAGAATGCTGTAATAAAAATGGAGGAAATGGGACTGAATTTCCTTCCTCAAAAGGGAAGCGTACCACAGGTGTTTAGACAGCACGGAGGAGGAAGAGAGAAAAGTAAGGCATGCCGGTATGGACAGGATACCATCTGTGCTTCTACACTAGCCCTCTCCACGGGCTTGGCCACTTCAGTGGTTAGGCACAGGCTGGTTTCTTGAGGTAGTAGCCGACTGAGGATGTGGTCCTCCATTTGGATGTTTGGGTAAGCAAGTTTATTTGTTTAGCTTAGGCACTGAAAGACTCATTCTTGTCAACCAAACTCCTACTATAAATAATACCATCTCAATACAGTGGAAGATAATCATTTAATGAATATTTATTCAATACAAGACCATACCAGGCTACAATGACAGAAAAAAATTTTTTTTGATCATTTAAAATTCCCAATTTGCTTACCGGTTAGAGTGTTGGAGTATACAGTGGTCCTCACAGGGTTTTCCTTTGACATCTAGAAAAAATGAATGAGTCTGACGGCTGTTGAGTCAATATTTACTACCACTGTGTAGTACTTTCTTTGGTTCATAGACGTAGTTAATTATGAAGGCGGGACACATATATCACTGGTATCCCTTCATTACTCAAAAAGATATACCTAAAGGCTGACCATAAAGTATTTAAAGACATCTGGTCCAGATGGAATCATTCATTCAATGTTAAAATGATGATTAACTCTTCGCTCCACCTTTTTTTATCCTCACTTTAAAATGAGTACAATCATTTCTATTAGAAAAAAAATGATTAGTAATGTATTCATTTAATTTGGTAGCATGCTTTGTCGGTCAATTTTAGAGAGACTTAACTCATTCTGGTTCGCTCAGGACTGTCCTGATGTTAGTGTTGAAAGTAATGGATTCCCGAAAACACCTCAATCCAGGGTAAACGGGACATTGGTTACACTAAGTCTGGCTAATAAAACGTATGCTATTGTAAAATAGTTCAGTGCTGTAAAAGATGAGTACACCTATTATCCCTAAATGAATGGGAGCAAGTTGGGTTCCAGGAGGGTCCCCGACGATGCTCTCATCGCTGATATTTGCTGGGTACACAAAGCTGTACAACAGGATACCTGCTTCTAAGTGGCAAATGTGTAATACCAGCGACTTCCTTTAAGTAAAACTGTAGATTCTGCTTTCTAAATGCCTCTATTCTAACCCACCCTCTCCTCTCCATCCCTATGCCTCTACCTTAGTTTAGACCGGTACCATTTAAATCATTTTATGTATCGCCTCTTCTTGGAGGACTGAGCCCCTCAAATCCCTTTAGGCACTCAAGGAGATTGCAATCCAGCTCCTGTCTCCCTCGGGGATCTCACCTTAGTCTACCATCTTCCCGCAAGCGACCCACCCTCGTGAACTCGCACTGCGCTCGCCCTACCCAGAATGCACCCTGCTGTTTTCCACGTCCTTGCAAATGCCATTCCCTTGGCCTACAGAGGAACAGAGAGATCCAGTTCCTTCTGACGTGGGGAGGAAGCGCTGGGGAAGGTGCGTGTGGCTTATGATCTCTCATCATAGTCCCTATACTGTCGGACAAATTGGGCCCAGAAGAGACTGACATCATTCTCCACTTACCCGCTTTGTACCAGCGAGTGAAGTAACGATCCACAAGCGACGGCACCGCAGGCTCGCCAGCTGAGGCGGCCACAGGGGGATCGGGCTCGGTAGCCATCGCGACCTCGGGTGCTGCAAACCCCGCCTCCTGGGACCTGTACTCTTCCTGTGTCTTTCCGGCGTGTAGCCGAGACACGCGCGCTGGGCGCACGCGCGCTGCTCCCCAGGCTCCGCAGGCTCCACCCACCGGCCCCACTTAACTGAGCTTTGGCGTCTGACGTCAAGGCGGGGGTCAAATACAATAGGCTGGGAAGGAGGATGTAGGGATAGGGGGCGGTGGCCAGCGCAGCTCCACATATATTTTTGGGGGGAGACGGAGAAGGCAGGCCGCGCCCTCTCCAACTCACGACGTCACTCCGTCGGCGCTCGGCGTGTGTCGGGCTTTTCGCTTGCTAGTACATGCTTCGCAGGTCGCGCCTCCGCCTGGCTTCACCATTACCGGAGGGGTCGAGCGGCCTGGCGGCCCGGAGACCCAGTGCGCGTCGTGAGAGCTCAGAAGCACGGTCAGGGAGAGGCCCGTGCGCAGCCCTGGACGGACGCACCGCTGTTTGCGTTTCCTCAGAGCGCGGCGTAGGTGAGCGTTCGAGCGGCCTAGCTGGGGTGGGGGCATGGAAACGGGCCCTGTCCGCCAGAGGGTGCCCTGATGAAGGGGACCCCCTAGCGCCCAACCGCTGCCTGCTGCTGGTCTGGGAGTGAAGTGCGGCTTGACCGCCTCTGAGCTCCTTGAGTTCTCTTTCTGCAGACTCGCCGCCTGCTGCACCCACGGCCCTCAGAGGGCTCTGCGCGGCGCGGCAGGAGGGGGAATGATATGCTTCTCCCCCAGCTGCACACTTACCCAGTCTTCGGATTCCTTGCAGTTGCCGAACCAAGTAATGCACCAATTAAAGCGCAACAATGCATGATAGAAGCTGACGGTAATAGAAGTTCAGGTGTGCTGCGAGTCCCTTCTCGCATCTGTAACTTTTCCTTGGAGGTGTTGTCCCCGTGCATCTCCATGTAATATGGTATCTTATGTGGCCCTCTCCCCCGTTAAGCTGTGACCTCTGAGGAGGCAGTAACTGTCAGTCATCTCTTGTCCAGAACTAGCACTTAGCAAGTGCTCAGTCGGTATATGATGTAGGCCACAAACCGGATCGTAGGATTACGGTACTGTGTAAAAGGATTCAAACCGAACATTGACAGGCAGGGCAGTAACCAGTGAATAGTTTACTGTGAAAGTGTGGGCAAAAGGGAAGCAGACACAGTTTCAGCTTGGAGGACAGAGAAAGTAGGAATGCCATGTCCCCAGAGGGGAAACTAGTTTGGTGGAGAATAGCAGGTACTTCATTTAACAGGTTGCATTTGATGTGCTTTTTGAGAAATCCTTGTGGTAACAGCAGGAGGTTGAAAATGTGAGTTGAGTGTTCAGTTTAGGGAGGGTCAGGGCTGGACGTTTAGATCTACTAAGCATATTAGTGATCTGTTTGGTACTTGTGGTCATGGGCATGATAATTAGCCAAGAGGTGGATGGATGAAGGAGCAAAGGAAGAAAATAGAGGAGTTGTCAGAAATTTCAGAGAGGATCCAGAATTGATCTATGGTGTGGAGAGATCTTTAGCACATTTAAGGGCTGAGAAAGGATGAGTCATTTGAGGGCAGGGGAGTTGGAGATTGCAGATGTAAAAGAAAGGGTACCAATAAGCCAAGGTCCTGGGGGAGTTTGGAGGGTTCTCCTTTGCTGGTCTTGAAAAAGAGTAGGACACTTCTGAGAAGGTAAGGGAATAAGGCTGATAGGTGTGAAATTTTAGAGAAGTTCATTTTGAGGCTGGAAGGGTTGGGGAGGAGGGCGATGAATGATGAGCTGCCCTTGTGTCACCAAGCCTAAGCTCGCACTGCTCACCACACTACAGGCCAATAATCGAGAGACGAGGTGTTGGGGCAAGGAATAACGACTTTATTCGGAAAGCCAGCAAACCAAGATGGTGGGCTCGTGCCCCCAAAGACCCATCTTGCCTGAGTTAGAATTAAGGCTTCTTTTATACTAAAAGGGGAGGGAGTAAAGTCAAACATTTCCTGGTTCCCATCAGCCTCCAGAGGGGATGTGTTAATTTCTTCCTCCCTGCAGGCATTCACAGGTGGGCCTGGTCAGGATGTTTCTTGTGAGCTAAATAAAAGTATTTTAGCTTAATGCTCATTACTTGGGAGTCAGGGTTCTGAGAGTTGGGTCATTATGTATAATTTTAGCTTATAGGCTGCATCCCTTTAGTGATTAACTTGTAATAGAATACAAAAGGTTCTTCCCTGTGACACTTGGCCGGTGATTTTGAAAGCTCAGTGATTTGAGAACTCAGGTTGTTTGATATGTTTGTCAGTTAGGGTCCAGTCAGGAAAGTAGAAACCACACAGTATTTCAACAGAATTTAATACGAAGAATTGGTTAAATGCCTGCTGGAGGAGCAAAAAGCAAAAGGGAGCAGTGAAGTAATTAAAAAAGTAAACTGCTGAAAGCAGTTACAACACTTAGCTAGGTCTGAGGATCAAAACAAGGGAAGCCATTGGGGTTATCATGACCTGGGAGGAGGGGCATTGGAAAGCTGGTGTTGATAGCTCTGGAATTCAGAGGAGGAGCTCCATGTTACTAGATTTCAGGCACCTGGAGGGAGTACCTGCCTGGTTAGTGCTGGTACCTCTGGGGTGGTTGTTATCATGCTAGTCATGGGAGTGCCAGAGGGTAGGACTAAGGGCCCCTGGAAGGATGAAGGCCCATTGCTGGGGTGACATTGACTGAAACAGCAAGGTAACAGGAAAAAGGGAGTCCTCCTCAGCTCCTTCTGCCTTTGCCTTCCAAATTCTTATGCTGGGGTTCACGGACCCCAGAGCTCCACGGATTGTTGGTGAATAGAATCCAAGTTCACAGGGAGACATTTTGATGCTCTGATCATGGCAACAATTACAACAGAATTATTATTAGCTAAACCAGGTTGAAATACATCTGGTCCTCTGTCACCTGTTTTCACCTCTTACTGCTCTGTCCCATGTTTACTCCCCTCTAGCCAGACATCCTCTCATCTCAAATCCACCCATCCTTTCAGATCTATGTCAGTGGTCGTCTTAATGTTATTTAAAGATGAAAGGTAATGTAATTTTTATATGCTTTCAAAAACCCAAGCTTTCTATATAGAATTAGATCAAAATAAAAAGTCTGTATGGTATAATACAGGTTCGAATAATTTCTAGAAGTTTTTGAATATAACTGTCATGAAAGCGCACAAAACCATTGTTTGCCATGATTCTCTTCCTCACTTCCACCGTGTGGGCTTGCCTTCCTCTTAACCCACATTTTATGTTATCTCACTCTACTACACTTAACATTTTATCTGCTATGTAGTATAAGGATTAATTCATGTTTATTCTTTCATTGTCATAAGTAGGAAATGCAAGATGAGAGAATTCACCTTGGATTAAGGTGACAAGAAGGCCAGTGTGGTCTGTGTAATTGTCACCCCTAATATAAGTTAGGGACTTCCAATTACGGTATAAACCTTAAAGAGGTCTGGATAGAAATATATAGCACATTAACTTTTTTTTCCTCTTAGGTAATGTTATACGTTAAAACAAGTCTGATTTTGTCAGACCAAGGTAGATTTCCTATTGATCGTTCTTTTCTCAGCTTTTCTACTGCCCTGGTGAAAATCAGGCCAGTGAAGTGGAGTAATGTGAAGTAGTTATATCAGGTTATGAAGCTCCTCGAATTGTTGGTCATCGTTTTGAAGTATACTGTTGTAATTTCATAGTGTCTTCTTTCTCCCTGAGAACAATAAATGCTTTTCTTTTTTTAAAAAATAATATTTATTTATTTATTTGGTTGTGCTGGGTCTTAGTTGTGGCACTTGGGCTCCTTAGTTGCAGCAGGCGGGCTCTTAGTTGCGGCACATGGGCTCCTTAGTTGTGGCATGCAAACTCTTAGTTGCGACATGCATGTGGGATCTAGTTCCCTGACCAGGGATCGAACCCGGGCTCCCTGCATTGGGAGTGCAGAGTCTTAACCACTGTACCACCAGGGAAGTCCCATAACTGCTTTTCTTTATTTCTATGTTTGATTTCAATTTTAATTTTTTAATGAAGATATAGAGCCAGTTTATAAATAAATGTAGTTGGTGATATTAAAGTAATTTTATTTTCTTCAACTGCCAGTATATATGTGGATTTTTATATTATTTTGTAAATCTGTCAAGTTATAAAATATCCTCATGTGCAAAATAAAATGTTTTCTCATTCATTGCATTCTTCTCAACTTTCCTTCAGGATAACTGATGTTAAATCTTTTTTGAAGAAAAAACTCTGAAGTTGAGAATCTTGCCTCTTTCAAAGAGTGAGAACGTAAAATAGATTTCACAGCCTCAATTTGTAGACCATAGATATACACAGTTGGTTAGATTGCTACCACTCATCTCTGTGTGGGTTCAGATTAGATCTTTTTTTTCTTGGTTATTCTAACTTCTCTGCTCCCTGAATCATTTTGCTTATATTGGAGTGTGATTTATCACTACTAAGCTGTTTCTATTTCTCAGAGAAATTAAAGTTTCATCAAGAGATATTTGTACTTTTCTTTCAGGAGTCGCTTCATCATGAGAAATCTAAAGTTATTTCGGAGCTTGGAGTTCAGGGATATTCAGGCTCCAGGGAAACCTCAGTGCTTCTCTCTCCGAACTGAACAGGACACAGTGCTCATTGGCTCAGAACATGGACTGATAGAAGTAGACCCTGTCATAAGAGAGGTGAGTTATTGATGGAGGGTGCTAGCACTTGGCATGACTCTTGACTTGTCTTTTTCCAAACTTGCTTCCCCAAATAGTCTTTCCTTTAAATCTTTCTGAATTTACGTGCCCCCCAAATGAATGCTCCCTTCGCTTTATACTGATGTCATATTAGACATAACTAGTACCCTGTCTTTTAGTCTGCTTCTGTTTTAATCTAAGCTGGCAAAGCTTTGACATTGTATTTTGTGGGGTGCCCTACTTTTTACCCTTTCTACCATGTAAATACTATCTATTAACAGTTCTCAAGTGGGAATGCAGGTGAAAATTTCCTGTAGGGCTTTTTAAATTTTTTCAGTCTCCATCTCATACCAACTACATCAGAATCTTCACTTCTGGAGCTTGAGCATATGTATATTGAAAAGCTCTTTAGGTTGATTCTGATACCTTCCCTTAATTATATTCTGCTACTAATGTATTTTAGGTGATTACATTCTTAGTCCCTTTTCCCCATACTGTATACATTTTAGAAAATCATAGTTATTAGCTTCATGTTTTATTGGATATTTTCAAAGATACCGGGCTTTTATGTTTGCTTGGCACAAAGGTCGCATGAACTGTGTTTTGTGTTAAAGATGGTAGTGCTGTGAAATTTCTCAAATGAAAGTTTGGGTTTTAATCTAGGAAAAAAACATTTTTGAAAGCTTTTGTATTATAAAAGAAGCATTAAAAAGTATTTCTGGAAGTGTGATGAATTGTTCTTGAAAGTAGATTGGCTTAATTTGCTTATTTGTTTGTTTTGGTGAAAGGTGAAAAATGAAATTCCTCTGGTGGCAGAAGGCTTTCTCCCAGAGGATGGAAGTGGCTGCATTGTTGGTATTCAGGAGTTGCTGGATCACGAGTCTGTGTGTGTGGCCACAGCTTCTGGAGATGTCCTACTTTGCAATCTCAACACACACCAGGTAAGTGGAAGAGATCAGTGAGTAGGAAATCTTAGACATCCTCAAACGCCTTTTTTTGTTTCATGTCACTAGTTTTTCGTAGAAGTTTAAAATGTCAGGAGCCATAATATTTAAGCATTTTGCAAATTAAAGTCTTTGCATTATATAATTCTTTACAGAAAATTGTTGACATGGCTTTAGCTATATTTCAGGATTCTTCTAAAACTCAGTTTTGTCTATTGCATTTATTAATTAGAACAATCAGAACATTCCAAATAAGAACTTAACAAAAACCCAAATCTGGCCATTCTTGTATGGTATATCTGATCCTGAGTTGTAACTTTTATTTCTCAATTTATGAAGTCTTTGAAATGTTTATATGGCTTACATTTTCTTTTATGAATGCTGAATAAGCCTCTCCTTGTTGGCTAACTTTAAGAGTCCCTGAACTACAGGTGCTAAGGTGATAATGCTATCATTATGTGCACATCTTATGACTGCCAGCGAAGATAGATTTCAACCATTTGCCTCCTTCTCTACTTAGCATAAGGCTTAGTTTCTGGATTTCTATCCTCACCTTCTTGACAGCTTTTTAAACTTTGTTGATTACTCCCTTAGTTGTGATCTCTTTAACATGGATGTATCACAAGTCATATTACTAATCATAGGATAATAATAGCAGCTGACATTTATTAAATGTTTACAATGTGCCAGGCACTTTTTCAAGTGTTTTTCATGCAGAATTGTATTTAATCTTCACTACAACCTTATGAGGTAGATTGTTGTTTTTCCGTTCTTCAAAAGAGGAAATTGAGGCACAGAGGGCTTAAATGACTAGGCTAAGGTCAAACAGTTATCAGGTGAGATTTAAACCCTGGCAGTCTAAATCTGGCACCTTTGCTTTTAACGGTTCCATTTAGTACAACAATAAATCTTATTCTCAGTTCATGGTGAGAAATAGCAAAGCCATCAAGTATAACTTACTTAGTATTTCTCACATTTAAAAGGTATGCTTTTACTTTCAAAACATTTTGTAGAACGTTTTCCTAATTACTGAGCTCCTCCAATCCATCGGTCTCCACCAGACGGTGCTGATCCTTCACATTTGTGGCATCACAATGTCTGCAAGACACAATCCATATTCCTTATTGTGCCGTATAAGACCTCTCACTGTTCACCAAATTCCTTTTTAGCCTCACCTCCCACCCCCACCGTTCCTGTGTATATGTATACCTTAGGCTCTACAGTTGCAGCTGATTTTTAAGTGCTCTTTTTAACTGCACATTTCCCCCCCAGTCTCTTCCTCCTGGCCCTATTCCTACCCTTCAAAGCACCTCCTCCGAGAAGCTTTCCTGGACTGTCCTGGGCCACTTGTCAGTCTCTGTCCTGAGCCCCCACTTAATTCCCAGAGACCTCAGTTACATCCCTAACCCTGCTGTAGAGGCATCTTTTATCTCCTTAACGGGAGGAATGGAGTGGCCGTAGTCACTTCCAGTCCCTATGGTCTGTATCATGCCTGGTCTTTTAATACCTGTTACTGAATAAATGTTCACTGAATAATTTCACCTTTGTGTGCTTTGTTAATTGTTTTGATTAAGGTCATAGTAAATATTTATGGAGATGCTTATATTTTCATATCTCCCTTAACATTTTAAAATGTCTCTCTCAGCTGGAATGTGTCGGGAGTGTAGCCAGTGGTATCTCTGTCATGAGTTGGAGTCCTGACCAAGAGCTGGTGCTTCTTGCCACAGGTAAGCCTGTCACTACTGGTCCCTAATTCTTGACTTTTATAAAACATGACTCCTAATATCTCACAGGCTTAAGTTTTAGGGTGCTTAAGTTTCAAAAAAAACCATTTCTTGGAACAAGGATACCAACATGATAATCTATAGGGAATGTGGTGTTTTTGAGTTAAGTTTTACTTCTTAATATATTGTTTTAAAAAGTTGCTGCTAAGGTCCATAGCTATGGTTTAAAATGTCAACAATATTTAACCTACTCTAAAAGGAAGAGTTGCTACATAAAATAAACTGATTCTAAGAACTGCTCTCCCAGTCCTATTTTTTTCCCTTAAGTCTTTTCATTCCAGATGAGTTTCTGCAAACTAGCACCCTGATGAGGTATACATTTGAAGAGATACCTTGCTGACTAAATCGTTGAAGTTAGTGGAAGAGGGCTATGTGGACTTTAATGTTAGCTTGACATTCATAAATAGCTGAAAATAAGTACTAGGTGACTTACCCAGTCAAAACTTTTTTTAAAAAATGAGAGTCAGAACATTTTGAATAAATTCTGTCTTCCCTGTTTTGACTATAAACTCCTCCACTCCAGCTCAGTAGCTTCCAATGCTGTAGATACTTACAGAATGGCAGATATGCTAAATGAGAACAAAATCATTCTTGTTTGTGCTCCTCCAAGGTCAACAGACCCTAATTATGATGACAAAAGAGTTTGAACCAATCATGGAACAGCAAATCCACCAGGATGATTTTGGTGAAAGTAAGTATAGCTTTGTTTGAACCATTTTGTGACTTGTCTTGCACACTGATAGCCACATCATAATATGCCCAAAGAACTATGAAGCTTAAGCCCCAACTTAATTCACTGACAGATATACCAATTCCTTTAGTTCATTACAGATTTTAAAAGGCATACCTCTGGTGCCTCTCCAAGTCTGAGAGCTGGCTTTGTCAGTAATTTGGGGAATAGGAATCTGTGCTTAGAATCACCTGGGTAGTTGTTGCCCAAACCCCAGGACAGGCTTAGTTAGGGGGTTTAATGAAAAGGACTGTACTAGCTAGAATAAGGAAAGCATTTCTGAGGTACAATTTTGGGGAGAAGACAAGAGAGGCAGGATAGAGAGCTGATTTTTGTTCCTACTTATTAGACCTGAATTTTCATGGGACCCATCATATTGTTTTCTTGCCAAGATCTAGCTGAGGTGATATGGGCATTAGGCTGTGGAAGTATTGAAGAGGAGAAGAGTGGAGATGCTTATTGAGTGTAAGAAGCTCTGCCCAACTTCAGGGCACCAGGTAGCTGGCCTGATTGAGGAGAAGGATGGGGGAGATGGTATTTTAACTTTCGCTGGGGTCTAACTTCATGACTTCTCATTCTACTAAGAAATCATTTAGAAAGGTGCTACTCATTTATTCATTCAAAAATAATTTGTTCAGAAATAATGTTTGAGTAGGTAGTGTGAACCCAGCAGTGTGTTTGGTGCTGTGGTTAATTCATCTTTTCCCTTAAGGAGTCAGTAATAACAGGATGTGCAGGTATTAGGGTAGCATAAGGAGAGAAAGGGAGTAATGGGGATGGAAGGCTTCCCAGAGGAGGCCAACTTGAGCTGAGTTTTGGCTGACTTGGTGTTAGGTAGATGAGGGTTGAGGGTGGGGGAGTGGTGCAAGCAAGTGAATTAGTTCATTCCAAGGCAGGGATGTTTCATGGAGGCCTTTGACACAGCGTGGCTTATTCAGGCAACTGTGAGTACTTCAGCATTGCCTAGTGACAGGACATGGATGTGGAATGAAATAAAGGGGAGGATTTTGATTAAGTTTGATAGGGAGTTTGGACATGAAGTTACAGGAGATCAGTCATTAAAGGTTCTGATGATGCAAGATTGATTGGTGGAGAGGGAAGAGACGAGACAGGGTGATCTGGTAGGAGGTTGCTACAGGAATCCACATGAGAGATAAAGAAGGTGGACTAGAAAAGGGAAAAATGCAGGAAAATTTTGATTCTCAATGAGGATAGGAGTACATTTTTTGGAATTATGAGAAAATTTTTGGAATATGTGTGCATGGTTCCCCTCCTGCCCTAGCTAGTTTGAGAAATACCAGTTTAGAAAGTGAAATAAATAGGCTTTGGGTATGTAAGGTGAAGAAGAAAGTTTAGTAGGACTCTAGCCAGAAGCTCAGGTGGTGGAAATAAAGATGTCAGTATCTGAGAGGGAAGGTGGGGAAGTGCTGGTCTATAAGGGGTGGGTGATGAGTTCCTTCTTGGATTTGTTTAAGGGCCATATGGGATCACCAAGTAAAGCAGGTAAGTAGAAGGGGCTGAAGCTCAGGAGAGGCCAGAGCCGTGGACTGGGAGTCATTGGCATGTGGGGAATCTTTACAATCTTGGGATTAGATGTGCTTGCTCAGGGAGCAGGTATGGTGCTGGATCTAGGGCCCGGGGTGGGACTCTGGGGCATCTAGCTTTGAGGATAGTCATAGAGGTAGTAACCAACACATCTTTGCATGGGAAAGTGCCCTGGGCCTGGCTCATCCCACCGACTTTTTCATAAGAAATCTAATAGAGTAAATCAAAGGAGAGGGAGTCCAAGTCAGGGTCTTAGGTCTTAGAAATGTATCTGTCAGTACAAAAAGTCACTCTGTGGAGTGGTGAATAGATATTTTTCTTCTAACCCAGGTGTCGACAAACTTGTTCTGTAAAGAACTGGGTAGTAATTGTTTTCCGCTTTCAGGCCATATGGTCTGTGTTGCAGCTACTCAACTCTGCTGATGTAGTGTGAAAGCACTTAAGATAGTACATAAAGAAATGGGTATGGCTGTGTTCCAATACAAGTTTATTTGTAAAAGCAAATGCAGGCTGTAGTTTGCTGATTCCTGCTGTAACTCCACCACTTATCGTCTGATCCCACTGGAAAAGTTGTCTTGCTTCGCTCCTTGACCCTTTATCTCTCTGTGGAAACTTTCGGATAGAAGCCCAGGGGTGTGCACCAGGATAGGCACTACTATTTGTACACAGCAGCAAGGTATGCTTTGGGATACTGCAATACTTGGGTGTGCCCAAGCAGAGCAGACAGGAAACGGTCATGCTGACCCATAATTTATAGAAATTATAAACAGCTCTGCTTCGTCAGAATCAGCATCAGTTGTAGGAGGGAAATATTGGGTCCTGGATCTGGCCGATGCTTTCAGGGGCATCTCTGTAGTACCTCTAATAGGTGGATGCCAGATCCTACCTTCAGGAACAGGAGGCTGCATTATTTCAGCAACTGACTCTATATTTTATGTAAGATCAGCATTATAATTTAGAAAGAAGCCCAGCCTGGAAGGCAGAAGCCCTGTGTTCTAATTTTGGCCTCTGTCACTAGGGTGTGTCAGTCTCTGTCAGGGCTTGAATTCCATAATCATGATCTCCTCCAACACTAGCAGGGAGGTTGGATACATTTAGTGGATTGAACTTACGATTGGAATTTTATTCCCAGCTCTTCTTGAGTTTTATGTTTTGTTATCTGTGGACATATTGCATAGATTCTTCATGTTTCATTCTCCTTGTAAAGTGGGGATGGATTGCTGACTGTCATCAAGGGAATTTACATACAATGGCAGTAAAGCTCGAATTCCAAGATAAGGGCATTTCAAAGTCTTCAGAATCACTTCAGTATATAATATGGAACATAGGTTTTTAAAATATTGACTGCTGGTCCATCTATTGAGAGGTCTCAGAGGACCCAACTTCATGAAGAATAGCTATGAAACTGCTTTTATTTTATTTAGCTTATTGGTTGTCTTGCATATTCTCACTCGTTCTCTAGGCAAGTTCATCACTGTTGGCTGGGGCAGGAAGGAGACGCAGTTCCATGGATCAGAAGGCAGGCAAGCCGCCTTTCAGATGCAAATGGTAAGATTGGTCTGATGGATAAGGAACCTTCTTTGGAACAAATAGAAGTTCTGCTACCCACCAGGAGCTCTTAGGTATCCAGGTGTTACCAAAAGTGGGGTCCGGCTGCTCGCCACTCTAAAGCCAGTAAAGAGGCAAGGTTGGTGGAAAGGAAAGTTTGCTTTATTCCGCTGGATGCCAGCAACTGGGGGGTGGGAGGGTTGGGGGGGGCGATTTTTGTCCAAAGGCCGACTCCCCTCCCTGACAACCAGTGGGCAAGAGCTTTAAAGGCCGAGGGGGCGCTACATGCAGAAACAGTACAGGCAGCTCTGACAGTCATCTTGAAATTGGTCATGCGGTGGTCTGACCAGCATCATCTTGATTATTAAGTACAGTTAGTCTTTACTTCCAGGGTCGGCTTGTTCCCATTTCTTGGAGGCCAGTTCTTGGAATTGTGGTAGCTCATGTCATGGTTACAGCCTGGTCATCATATAGTTAACTTCTTCCACCTGGTGGCGGTTTCAGTATCTATAAGACGGCTCACAGGATATGGCTCAGAATATTATCTGTAGCCCTTGAGGAGGAACTAAAAAGGTCCTTGACTATGCTTAATGACTAAACTATTATTATTTGGTCTCCTTTGACTGTTTTCCTCTGTTTCTGCATTTTCTCACTTCTCTGATTAAACTTACTGTTTGGCTAAAGTTTTTCTGCAGACAAAAAGCAGGCTGAGGACATGGGGTTGGGGGGACCATCGGGTCCTGCTCTGTTTCACAGGTAGAGGGCGGTAATGGACAGATCTCTTCTGCTCTAGTAAAACAAGCTGTTTGGAGACCTTAGGGAATGAGTCATCCTAGAAAGATCCTTTTTTCTTTTTTATTGCCAAGTTGTTTTGTTATTTTTTTTCACATAGAGAATAATTATCACCAATATTCATTTAAAAAAAAAACTCACCACAGACAGAAATGAAGCACTCTGTATCCCTTCCTGATACCCTCCCCCTTCCTCCCCAGAAGGAGCTGCTGCCCTGCGTTCACTGTTGATCATTCACGTGCATGTTTTTATACTTTTCCTACATATGTATATATTAGTCTTTTTTTTCCTGATTTCTTTTCCTGGATGAAACTATGTTTTCCTTCTTTCTGGATACATTTTAAAGGATAAAGCTACAGGATTTATTGATAATAGATCAGATGTAGGGTAAGAGAGAGAGAGAGGAATTGAGGATAATCCCCAGATGTGGGCCTGAGCAAATGGAAGCACTTTGTCTATACTATATGTGGAGATTTCCCTGTGCTGACCTTCTAGGATAGATGAAATCATACACTGCCTGCCATTACATTTTCCATCCTTACTTTATTTCTGGCTACATTCCGTGTAACTCATATTGTCTCCTAACCCTTCACTAGAGGAAGTTTGTGTATACCACAGGGCAGTTTCATTGAGAATAAATCTTGTTAGGCTGCTGTGTATTCCCTACTGTGCAGTTTGTGGCACTAGCACCATTCTGACTTAGCCTGTCACTGGAATGTGATGATGGATGCTCAGGTGGTCATTTGTCCCCAGTCCCACAGAACTGGCTTCTGTCTTCAAGGCTTTCGGGACTGAGATGCAAGTGGCACCGGAAACCTTTCTTCTTTCGGTGCTGCAGAATGCGGAGCTTGTCCATGTTTTCATCACTGCTGCTGGCTTTATCTCCTCTGGCTCTTCCCTGCCCACATTCCTCTCATCTTCTTAACTCTTCTGTGCAGCGTTGTGAAGTTTACTCAGTGAATGAAACTACCCTCTTAAATTTAGACAAACATTAATTTCCTTATATAGTTACCTGATAGATTCCTTAGCTCGTTATTTTTAATATCTAGATCTGTAGCTCTTTTTCCCTGTTGTTATGCTTGGAGGCCACTTTTTAATGTCCAGAGAAAGATTTTGTTTTGTTTGGTTTTAAGTTCTTTTCTCTTGATTTTTGGGTCTAAGGGCCCTTCTGGAAGGGTTCCTGAGGATTTTGTGAAACCCGATTTCTAGATAGCTTAAACTTTATATAAAAGATTTAACTTTAATAGCCTGAGGCTTGTTTGATTCTGGGCCATTTAAAGCCACCAGTAACATTTGTGTTTTTTCCTCTCTTTAGCATGAGTCTGCTTTGCCCTGGGATGACCATAGACCACAAGTTACCTGGCGTGGTGATGGACAGTTTTTTGCTGTGAGTGTTGTTTGCCCAGAGACAGGTATGGAAATAAATTTTTCTTACTTTTGCTTTGAGGGTTTTCTTTCATTACACCCATGAGGTAACAATGTGCTGCTTTAGGTGTTAAATGAATATAGAGCTAAGAATCAGAAGAGTTCTTTGAGGCTATTTGGCCCAGCCTCCTACCAGTTGGATATGAATTTTTTTAAAGCATTTAAAAATTTTTTAAAATTTATTATTTATTTATAAATTTATTTTATTTATTTATTTTTGGCTGTGTTGGGTCTTTTGTTGCTGCGCGCGGGCTTTCTCTAGTTGCGGCGAGCGGGGGCTACTCTTCATTGCAGTGCGCATGCTTCTCATTGCAGTGGCTTCTCTTGTTGCCGAGCACAGGCTCTAGGCGTGCGGGCTTCAGTAGTTGTGGCGCATGGGCTCAGTAGTTGTGGCTCGCGGGCTCTAGAGCGCAGGCTCAGTAGTTGTGGCGCATGGGCTTAGTTGCTCTGCAGCATGTGGG